GGAAGAAATACACCAGCCTGTGTGATCATGAGGTGTCGAAGGGATCAGGTATCAGGCATCTAAGACCCCAAACAAAAAATTATATTGATGTGAATAAGGGAGAGTGTGGAGTGGAGACCCAATGCCCATCTGTAGACAATTGGACTTCCCCTTACAGAAGGGTCACAAGGAAGAGACAATCCAGTTAGGTTGCAGTATAGCATTGATGAAACACACAACTTTAGTTCTTTAATGCTTCCTCTTCCCCCACCCCACTATCATGACCTCAGTTCTACCTTATAAATCCAGCTAGATCAGAGCATGTACAGATAAGAACTGGAAATACAGGGAATCCAGGACAGATACCCCCCGCCCCCCCAACCAATAATGAGAGCATCGATACCAGGAGGGGAAGGGGAAGGTGGGAGGAAAATGGGGCACTGATCACAATGATTGATAGATAACACCCCTCCGCCCCCAGGGGATGGACAACAGAAAAGTGGGTGAAGGGAGACAGTGGTCAGTGTAAGACATGAAAAAAAAAAATTATAAAGGGATCATGAGGGAGAGTGGGGGAGGTTCGGGGGAAAAAAGAGAAGCTTATACCAAGGGCTCAAGTACAAAGAAAATGTTTTTTAAATGACGATGGCAACATTAAGTATAAATGTGCTTGATACAATGGATGTATGGATTGTGATCAGAGTTGTAAGAGCCCTCAATAAAATTATTTATTAAAATAATTAAGAAATAATTTAAAAATTGCTTTCAAATAACCTCAAACTTACTGAAAAGTTGCAAGTATAGAATAGACATGCCCTTTTTGCGGAACTATTTGAAAATAAGTTGCTGACATGATGCCCTATCAACCCATCATATTGTAGGGTAGTTTCTTTCAAGGACTTCTTCCTATATTAGCAATGGAACCATCAACTCCAGGAAATCGACATTGACACATTGCTACCATCTCATGTTCAGCCTCCATTCAGTTTCGCTCGCTGTTCCTGCTGTGTGCCCTTGGAGGCCCACAGATCTAAGTTCAGTTCTGTGCTGCACTTCGCCACTTTTCTCTGGTCTTTCTCACTTTGGACCAGTTCCTCTGTTCTTTTCTTGACCACGTTATGATCTTGACAATCTGTAAGATTACGGAGTAGTTGTTTATTTGTCACTTTTGTTTTATCCGGCATTTCCTCATGACTAGATTCAGGGTGTGCATCTTTGCCTAGAAATTCACAGAAAAGATGTGCTTTGCTTAAAGCACTGATTAAAAAAAGAAGTCTTAGTTTTTGAGACTTTGTCCCTTTTCCACTAATATTATTTTACAGAATTTCAAAGTAAACCTTTATTTCAAAATTTAAGAATTAATTTTACTGAACAACATTTATTGAATTCTTTATTCTGGTTTTTTTTCCTTACTTTTATTGGGGGCTCGTACATCTCATCACAATCCATACATTCATCCAGTGTGTCAAGCACATTTGCTCATATGCCTCCATCCTCATTTTTCAAAGCATTCTCTTCCCACTTGAGCCCCTGATATCAGCTCCCCATTTCTTCCCTCTCCCTCCCCTGCTGGCCCTCCCTCACGAAACCTTGATAAGTTATAGATTATTATTGTCGTATCTTTTATCATCTTCCATCGCCCCTTACCCACTTTTCCATTGTTCGTCCCCCTGGGAGGGGGTTATAGGTTGACCCTTGTGTTCCATTCCCCATTTCTCCCCCACCTTCCCCTAATCCTCCTGGTATCTCTATGCTCATTGTTGGCCCTGAGGGGTTTATCTATCCTGGATTACCTGTGTTGCAGGCTCTTATCTGTAGCAGTGGGCATGTTCTGGTCTAATCCGATTTGTAATGTAGAATTGAGGTCATGATAGTGGGGGGAATGAAGCACCAAAGAACTAGAGGAAAGTTGTGTGTTTCATCAGTGCTATACTGCACCCTGACTGGTCATCTCTTCCCTGTGACCGTTCTGTGAGGGGATGTCCAACTTTGTTCTGTTTTTTAAAACAGTTTTATTGACATGTAACTCAGGTACCATACGATTCAATGGTCTGAATATATTAAAGAGAGGTGTGCAGTCATCACTATAACCAATTTTAGAATATTTTCTTCATTTTTTCATACTCACTGTTACTAGCTCTCCATTTCCCCTGGACCTTCCCTGCCAGAACACAAAGAAATTATTATTCTAGTTACGGTCTCTAAAGATTTACTTATCCTGGGTTTTATATAAAGAAGATCGTACAGGAAAACAGACAGACCCTAACAACAATAAGAAAGTCAACGCCTCATGAAAGCAGAAAAT